CAACCAAAAAAAAAAAAGTTTATTTGTTTAAAAGAAGAAAAGTAACAAGTCTTATACTCTATATTGCATGGAAGGGGTTGCTGGTATGGTTGCTTGTGCAGGACTCGACAAATTCGTAAAAGGTAGAGAACGAGGACATGACTTTTTACGTATATACATGTGCACATGCATGCGCAGACAAGCATGTGCACGCGCAGACATGCATGCGCAGACAAGCATGTGCACGCGCAGACATGCATGCACACACCCATGCACACACCCACCCAAACCCACTCATGTGTGCACACATACACTCCCATGCACGTGTGTGCACATACACTCCCACACACACATGGAGATATCTACCAAGAGTTGAACATGGGTATGCACACACACACACACCCGCGCGCACGAGCGCACACCCATGCATGCACACCCACGCACATGTGTGCACATACGCTCCCACAGACGCGCACACATAGACATATACTGAGAATTGAACATGGGTATTCTTGGTGTCAACGATAAAATTTGGTCCTTGGTAGTAACGTGACTACTTTTCATCCCCTTCCCCTTATTTAACAAGCGAGCAATCAAGCAAAGATCATTTTGAAGTTGTATCTTTAAATGTGTGGACGAAGAAGTGGTCACCTCACTATCAAGAACCAATTTATATGAGATGAATATACTTTTTTCATTCACATGTTATGAAAATTAAAATTTGAGAATTTTTTAAAAAAAGACCTTTTTACTAAATAATTAGAAAAATCGACCATTTTGCTAATTATTTAGCAAAATCGACATCTTTTTGGCCAACAGACCAAAAAGAGATCGATTTTGCTAAAAACACCTTGCTCGAAACATACGGGACTAGTAGTCCCGTATGTTTTGAGTAAACTAATCGGGAATTATCCAAAACATACAGGACTAACATACGGGACTACTAGTCCCGTATGTTTTGGGTTTGAACTTCTTTCGACAGTCTCCTTGTACTCGGCAATCATTTTTTGGCGGAGGTTTTGGAACTCCTGCATGAGTTCTTCGAATTGTTTTTGAAGACCGTTGGTGATGAAGGTGCGGGTGCGGTCGACGGGGGTCCCATTGCGGTAGCCCAAGAGACGGCGGCTGGCGGCGTTGGCGCGGTCGAGGGACTCGAGGCGGTCGCGGATGGATTTGGCGGACTTGAGGACTTGGAGGATTAGGGAGTTGATCTGGGAGCGGAGGGACTTGAGGGGCTCGGGCTTGTGTGTGGTCGATGGGGGTCCCATTGCGGTAGCCCAAGAGGTGGCGACTGGCGACGTTGGGGCGGTCGAGGGACTCGATGCAGTCGCGGATGGATTTGGCGGACTTGAGGACTTGGAGGATGAGGGAGTTGATCTGGGAGCGGAGGGACTTGAGGGCTCGGGCTTGTGGAGGGACTTGACCGCTCGTTGATGGCGTGGAGTCGGAGAGGAGCTGCTGATCCGAGGACATCTGCTCCTTTACGAGGCCCGCCTCCTCGAAGAAGTAGCGGAGGTTTTCGTCGTTGGGAGGAGGGATTTGGTCACGAGGTTGTTTATCTTGATTGGATTGAATTGAATTGGGGTGGGTTTATTTATTTTTTCTTGATGGAGTTTTTTCTTGATGGATTGGAATCGAGGATGAGAGAGTGAACTAGTTACAATTAGTTCACTCAAAACATATGGGACTACTAGTCCCGTATGTTTTGAACATGGTGTTTTTTTTTAAATCGACCTCTTTTTGGCCTGTTGGCCAAAAAGAGGTCAAAATTTTCTAAATAATTAGCAAAATGGTCAAATTTGCTAATTATTTAGCAAAAAGGTCTTTTTTAAAAATTTTCCCTTAAAATTTTTATAACATTCTTATGTTCTATAGTGTAGATTATAAATTGGAAAAACCACTTGTTCGTTAACTGATACCCAAATGACATCTTGAAACCATATTCTGAAGCAGTTATGGGCTGAAATGAATCTGACCGTGACACAGGAATTTGAGGGACCAAATATTAAGTGTAGAATACAAGTTCAAGCAATATATGACAGGTGTTTTTAGTTTAAAACATGTACTAGATAATTGAGCGCACGTCTAAATAAATGTATTCATATATTCGAGGAATTTCATTGTCTTGTACGGGTATAATCACTGTTTTAAATATTGGCCGATAACCGATATTATCGGCCGAGTTATCGGATTTGGGAGCTCTCCGATAGGATAACTTGGATTTTTAATCGGTCATCGTTTTTGGCAAGTTATCGGGGAGTTATCGGCGTTATCGGTACTTATCGGCCGATAAGTAAGGTTTTTTTATCGGGATTATCGGCCGATAAGTAAGGCTATGCAATCGAATGGTTTCATCGTGCGGTCAAGATGCAAGTTTTGCTTTCTACAATTAGTTAGTGATTCTAAACATGATGATTTATATTTTGGTATGTTTATATTTCATTAAGCATGGTTAGATTATATTTTTAGTTATTATATTATATATATACACCATCTAGTATATCACTCCGATAAATACTACTTATCCCCGATATATCCCCAATTTCCGCTATCCGATAAGAATTTTGGTCGTCCGATAAATTCCCGATAACCGATATTTAAAACCTTGGGTATAATACATGCTGGGTACATGTACGACTTCATTACTGAAGTACCCATGCAACACAGCCTATGCCCTATATGAAATTATATTACGTGGACAAGAGAGATACTTGAATTGTGAAATAGTATCTTCGTTTCCCCTAAGGCTAATGAGTTTCCAGCTGTGAATGAAAACACGTGCTTTTTGTCTAGAGAAGATCCTTGAAGAACTAAATCAGTTCTCTATATGAACAGTTAATCTTCCTACAATATATCTTCTCTCTATTTCTTCTTCCCTGTTGTCCGTAAATTTGTTATCTGCTTTTAAACGGAGATGTCAAAAACTTCAAATATCACGGATTTTAGTGAAGCTTTTCTCATCAACGAGTTTGAAATGATCATGTGCAGAGTGCTGTTTCTGGACTAAACAGAGGCCTAGCAGCCAGTGAAGAAGACCTCAAAAGGGCAGAATCTGCTGCCAAGGAACTGGAAGGTGTTGGAGGAGTTGTTGATCTTACCAAAGACCTCGATAAACTCCAGGGAAGATGGAAGCTACTCTATAGCAGTGCCTTCTCCTCAAGAACCCTAGGTGGGAGTCGTCCCGGTCCTCCCATTGGCAGACTTCTTCCGATTACACTCAGACAGGTTTTTCAACGTATTGATATCCTCAGTAAAGATTTTGATAACATAGTCGATCTCCAGTTTGGAACTCCATGGCCACTTCCTCCTGTTGAAGCAACAGCTACTTTAGCCCATAAATTTGAACTTATAGGTCAATTTTTTGCACTTCAATCTATCTACTGATGATTACAAGAAATCTCGTTCATCTATTTGCTGTTCTCAAGTAGAGTTTTTTCAATATCAATTCCCTAAATTTTTAATATTTTAAAATTAGTCCATTAAATCATTGAAATTGTTATTAGGTCTCCCAAATCCTATATCTTGCTACTCTACTTTTGGTTGGAGGGAGTGTTTGAAACAATTTATAAGAATTGAGGGACCTAATTGTAGTTTCAATAATGTGAGGGTCTAGTTTGGAACATCTTATAAGATGGGGGACCTAATAGCGACTTCAAATATTTTGGGAATTATTAACAAAATATTAAAGTTTAAGGAACTAGTATTGAAAAAACCCTTTTCAAGTAATTTCCTCCTCAAAAAAGTTCAACAAAAGTCCATCGTCTGTGGCCATTACTGAAAATCGTTAGTTCTGTTATGGACTTTGTTTCCTTTAGATGTTTGCACAAATATTTTGAGAACTATTAACAAAATATTAGATTTTTTTTTTTACTTTATCCGAGAACTTGTTTTTGTTTTTCTATTTTCTTCTTTTTCAACTCACAAAATCTGTGGATTCTGAAATGCAGGCATATTAAGAACAAAACTCCATTACAAAATTAACGGTTTACTGTCAATGATGATGTGTTTTTTATTGAATTTTAAGATGATGTTTTTTTTGAAAAAAGATGGCACTGATAAAGGAGATTTCTTGTTACCATTAAATATTTTAAACAGTTAATAACTCTACTTTTGATAATTACAGGAACTTCAAAGATAAAGATAACATTCGAGAAAACTACGGTGAAGGCAACGGGGAACTTGTCTCAGCTTCCACCACTGGAAGTTCCTCGTCTTCCTGATGCATTGAGGCCTCCATCAAACACAGGGAGTGGCGAATTTGAAGTAACATACCTTGATGCTGATACACGGATAACCCGAGGTGATAGAGCGGAGCTCAGGGTTTTTGTGATCTCATGAACCTGATAATGTAATGAAGTATTGTACTACGTACATACATTCTTTCTTGATATTGTACTATGTGTTTTGTACACCACAGGAGCTCCTCTCTTTTTTTAAGTTGAACGGTATCTCGTATTCATTGTAAGATACTGTATATTTTGTTGTATTCAGTTTGCGGGTGATATGAATCGTCGTAAATAGCTGATGATAAATTCGGCATTAAGGCTGGGTATGAAGTTGACCATGCATAGGATGTAGCGACAAGATTAAGAGGTAGCATTTGTTCAGTGAACACTCTTGGTCTACTGGATATTTTTCAATTTACCGCTCTTTTCTTTATTTTCATTAATGATAGTTTTACGATGCTCATGGGTTTTTGTGACACTCCCCAAAGTTACGGGGGGCTTTGTGGGATATGTAAATCTAGGGGGTTTTGTCATAGTTACCATACCGATGCCCTGCTGGAAAACGACGTGTCAACATCAGCGCGAATCAACAGTTTCCGCTTTATATAGAGCGAATCCTCCAACGGCTACTTAGCTTTTCAAATTTCGAGCTCTTCCCCCTTTCCTTCTCCCCTCCTCTCATTTAAAAAAAAAAAAAAATCCCAGGGAAAAAAGCCATAACCCATTCCTCCTCAATTCAACAACCCAATTCTCTACTGGGTCTCTCTCTCTCTCTCTCTCTCTCTCTCTCTCTCTCTCTCTCTCTCTCTGTGCAATGGCCCCAACTCCTTCTCCAAGGCCAATCTCAACCCACCAAACCCCGACAAAAACCCCTCAATCCAGACACAAGCTCAACTTCCCCTCAATCCCAACCGAGCATCCAGTAGAAGTCATCGGGCGCATACGGAACTTTCCAGAACCCTCCCTCGAGCTCTCGGCCGACTCCAAATCAATCCGACTCCGATCTGACATCGGATACCGAGATTTCACCCTCGACGGAGTTTCACTCTCGGATGCCGAGGACTTAGAAAAGTTCTATGCAAAATATGTGGGTTCTAGAGTTGAGGGAGTGAGACTGGGGGCCAAATGTACGATTATGATGTATGGGACTACCGGGTCGGGTAAGAGTTATACGATGTTCGGGTGCCCGAAACAACCCGGGGTTGTTTATAGGGCTTTGAAGGATATTTTGGGGGAGGGTGAAGGGGATGATGGAGGTTTTGGGATTGGGGTTTTTGTGAATGTGGCTGTTTTAGAGATTTATAATGAGGAGATTTATGATCTCATTTCGGGGAGCTTGAATGGCGGAGGAGCTGGGATTGCGATTCCTAAATTGATATTTGTAGTGATAGTTCAGTTAAGATTGTTTTGTTTAAGTCAATAACTTTAGCTCCTTTATCTATATTTACTAATTTAACATTTTTTGGGGTGAAATTTTATTTTCTCAAGACCAGTCAAAACTTCCTTCTGCTCGAAATAATTGTTGAGAGCTTAAGTTCTTTTCCTAGGAATAGATAAAATTGATTCTTGATTATAAGAAATTGGCTGCATATTGTCTATTATGAATATTGATGCCTAAAAGAATTGGAGGAAAGAGCGATAACTGTAAGAATAATTGTATGTTCAGCAGAAGTTAAGTTCAATCTCAGTTCTCAAGCATACACCTTCAATGGAATCCAATAGATGTGTGAAATTATAAGTGATCGACGTACTTTTTGACTCGGTGCTATTTAATCACATGATGTAACTCATTAAACAATCAAGAAATGCGAATGAAAATAGGTTGTCAGAAATTACAACCAAAAGATATAAATCATCCACACAGTCTGTGTAAAACAATCAAAATTTATCATCAAAATAATACAATGTGCATCACCATCTGCATAAAACTCAGTTACCATGATATAATCACATCCCAAAGTATGGAAATAAACACTCAGATACTATCTTTATTAGGATTGAGAGTTCATCCTTGTGGTTATTTTTGAAGAAGTATCTGAAACCAACTTGTTTAGTTTTACACTGCTTGCTTTTAAAGAAGCATACGTCAGTTGCTGCTATTTTTGTGTTCTAATCTTTAGTTGTTTTAACTTTTCTTTTTCTATTGATCAGCGCAGGACCTATCATTTATTAATTTTTTCATTTACTCTTTTAACAAATCGTATAACTACCTTATCACATCCATATGTTCAGGTGAGACTAGAGGTGATGGGGAAAAAGGCGAAGAATGCAACATATATTTCTGGAAATGATGCAGGCAAGATTTTGAGAGAAGTTGCCAAAGTCGAGAAGCGGCGGATCATTAAGAGTACCAACTGCAATGAGAGAAGCTCGAGAAGTCACTGCTTGGTTTGTTTTCTTCTATCCCTTTGTCAGTCTTATTTTTAATCTTCTAATATCCAACTTGCAAAAGTTTATTCCTCTGCGAAAAACCATAGATTATCCTGGATGTTCCATCTGTGGGAGGAAGACTTGTGCTCGTTGACATGGCGGGGTCAGAAAACATAGAGCAGGCTGGGCAAAGTGGCTTTGAGGCCAAAATGCAGGTGCCAACTTGGTTTTTTCTGCATATCTAGTGGTAATTAGGTTCAATTGATGAATGCATTTTCTGTCAGCAATCAGCCGCCCATGTGAATCCATTAAGCCCACAATTGTTGATAATTATAAAAGAAAACAAAAGGAGTGGGACCCACCTCAAATTATCACACCGAAAGCACCCGTGAAGTTTGAAGATTTTAGAAATGCACAGTAAAATATTAATATTTTATTGTGCATAGTGTTTTTCCAAAAAACTATAAATAGGCTCCAAATCCTTAAGGAAAAAATCATCCCAGAAACAACTTCTTACATAGAAGAGTGAGAGAGAAAAAATAGAGAGAGTTTCTTCTTGTAAAGAGAGAGAGTTTGTAACTCCAGAGTTTTCTCCTCATAGTGAATTCTTCTATCCTTGCCCGTGGACGTAGGCAATTAAGTGCCGAACCACGTAAATTCATGTGTCCAACATTTTATCTCTACTTTTGCTCTACTATTGCTGCGACCCTGCTCTATTGGGCCCTGGGTTTGTCCCAAGAAGTGGTATCAGAGCCAACTTAGGGTACTTGTATATATCTACTTATCGTATGCTTTGTGGCTGCCACCAAAGGTGGATCCTCCACATCAGAAAATAAGTTAGGTTATCATTTACCCTTTGAAGGTGATGTGTACTATTCACGAGTACGATACTGTTCACAAATACGGTACTATTCACAAGTACGGCACTATTCACGGATACGGTTACTGTTCATAAATACAGTACTATTTACGTGAGATAGTAAGAAGTTACTGTTCGTGGTAGAAGCAATGGCGGCGAAGTTCAAGATCGAGAAATTCGACGGGAGTAATTTCTCATTGTGGAAGTTGAAGATAAAGGCTATCTTGAGAAAAGATAATTGCCTGGCGGCCATTGGTGCAAGGCCGGACGACATCACAGATGATAAGAAGTGGAACGAGATGGACGAAAATGCTATTGCAAATCTCCATCTGGCATTAGCAGACGGGGTGCTGTCAAGCATAGAGGAGAAAAAGACAACAAAGGAGATCTGGGATATTCTAACAAAGCTATATGAGGCGAAATCCATGCACAATAAAATCTTCTTAAAAAGGAGACTTTACACTCTGAGGATGGCGGAATCTACATCGATGACCGACCACATCAACACCCTAAACACACTGTTCTCCCAACTCACAACGTTGGGATATACAGTTGGTGCGAATGAACGTGCAGAACTTCTACTTCAGAGTCTACCTGACTCGTATGATCAACTCATCATCAACCTGACGAACAACGTCCTCACGGACAATCTAGTCTTCGACGATGTTGCAGCCGTTGTTCTGGAGGAAGAAAATCGGCGCAAGAGCAAGGAAGACAGGCGGGCAAGTTCGCAGCAAGCGGAGGCCTTGTCGGTGACGAGAGGAAGATCAACGGAACGTGGCTCCAGTGGGAGTCATGCCCATGGTAGATCGAAATCACGAAGTAAGAAGAATATCAAATGCTACAACTGTGGCAAAAGAGGGCACGTCAAATCGGAGTGTTGGCACAACAAGAAGAGTGGAGATAAAAAGTCTTCAGAGCCATCAACATCTCAAGGATGCGTTGTCAGCACGTCAGAGGATGGTGAAATTCTATTCAGTGGAGCAATCACTGTTAATGAAGGCAGAAAGAAGTTTGCTGATGTCTGGCTTCTAGATTCAGCAACCTCTTGGCACATGACCTCTCGGAGAGATTGGTTTCACAAATATGAACCTATCTCAGGAGGATCTGTATTCATGGGGAATGATCATGCCTTAGAGATTTGTGGTATTGATACTATCAAAATCAAAATGTTTGATGGTATAATACGCACCATTCAAGATGTGCGACATGTGAAGGGCTTGAAGAAGAATCTATTGTCTTTGGGACAATTAGATGAGCTCGGGTGCAAGACTCATATAGAAAATGGAGTCATGAAGATTGTTAGAGGGGCGCTTGTGGTGATAAAAGGAGAAAAAATAGCTACATATCTGTACATGCTCAAGGGAGAGACTCTGCAGGAAGCTGATTCATGTGTGGCATCAACCAGCCGTGGAGAAGAACAAACCATGATGTGGTATCGCAAGCTAGGCCACATGTCAGAACGAGGCTTGAAGGTTCTCTCCGATCAGAAACTGCTTCCTGGACTTAATTCGGTAGCTCTTCCATTCTGCGAGCATTGTGTTACAAGCAAGCAACATCGACTGAAGTTCAACACATCGAGTTCTAGAAGCAAGGCTATTCTGGAACTGGTTCATTCTGATGTATGGCAAGCACCAGTTACATCCTTAGGAGGAGCAAAGTACTTTGTGTCCTTTATTGATGATTACTCCAGAAGATGTTGGGTGTATCCTATCAAGAAGAAGGCGGATGTGTTCTCAGTTTTTAAAGCCTACAAAGCGCGGGTCGAGCTTGAATCTGAGAAGAAGATCAAGTGCTTGAGAACAGATAATGGAGGAGAATACACAGACGGTGAATTCCTAGCATTCTGCAAGCATGAAGGCATCAAAAGACAATTCAGTACGGCTTATACTCCTCAACAAAATGGAGTGGCGGAGCGGATGAACAGAACTCTGTTGGAAAGAACAAGAGCTATGCTGGCTACTGCAAATCTGGAAAAAGTATTTTGTGTGGAAGCAGTAAAAACCGCCTGTTATGTGATAAATCGATCTCCATCAACTGCAATACAATTGAAGACGCCAATGAAGATGTGGACTGACAAGCCAGCTGATTATTCCAACCTCCATATATTTGGAAGTCCAGTGTACGTAATGTACAATGCCCAAGAAATTACAAAGCTGGATTCAAAATCCAGAAAATGCATATTCTTGGGGTATGCTGATGGAGTAAAGGGGTATCGCTTATGGGATCCCACTGCCCGCAAGGTTATCATCAGCAGAGATGTTATCTTTGTAGAGAACCAACTACAAAGTGAAGAGAAAGAAAGCAGTTCGAGGAAGGACTCAGAGACTGCAGCTGTTCAGGTAGAAGATAATCCGAATTCTTCTGAAGCGACACCGGAGCATGATGTACAAGAACCAGTCGAGGCCGAGGCTCCAGAAGTTCGAAGGTCAACTCGTGAGAGAAGACCACCGACTTGGCACTCGGAGTATATTACGGAGAGTAATGTTGCATACTGTCTTCTAACAGAAGATGGAGAGCCATCAACTTTTCATGAAGCTATAAATGGCACAGATGCATCTTTGTGAATGGCAGCAATGCAGGAAGAAATTGAAGCTCTCCATAAGAACAAGACTTGGGAACTTGTGTCACTGCCACAAGGAAGAAAGACCATTGGAAACAAATGGGTCTACAAGATCAAGCGAAATGGCGATGATCAAGTGGAGCGGTATCGTGCTAGATTGGTGGTAAAAGGATATGCTCAGAAAGAAGGTATTGATTTTAATAAAATATTTTCTCCTGTAGTTCGACTAACAACAGTCCGAATAGTCCTGGCTATGAGCGCTATATTTGACTTACATCTAGAGCAGCTAGATGTGAAAACAACATTTCTTCATGGAGATCTTGAAGAAGAAATTTACATGCTCCAACCAGAAGGTTTTGAAGAAAAAGGAAAAGAGAACTTGGTTTGCAGATTGAACAAATCTCTGTACGGTCTAAAGCAGGCGCCGAGGTGTTGGTATAAGAGATTTGATTCATTCATCATGAGCCTTGGATACAACAGACTTAATTCAGACCCTTGTGCATATTTCAAGAGGTTTGGTAAAAATAACTTTGTTATCTTATTGTTGTATGTTGACGACATGTTGGTTGTAGGCCCCAACAAAGATCGTATCAAAGAATTAAATGCTCAGTTGGCTAGGGAATTTGAAATGAAGGATTTAGGATCTGCAAACAAGATTCTAGGGACGCAAATTTACCGAGACAGAATTAATAGGAAGATTTGGCTTTCTCAGAAGAACTATTTGAAGAAAATCTTGCGACGCTTTAACATGCAAGATTGTAAGTCAATTTCTACCACACTTCCTGTTAATTTTAAGTTATCCTCCAGTACGAGTCCTAGCAGTGAAGAAGAGAGGATGGAGATGTTTCGAGTACCGTATGCATCGGCAGTGGGAAGCTTAATGTTCACGATGATTTGTACAAGACCAGACATTGCACAATCAGTGGGAGTGGTTAGTCGATACATGGCGAATCCTAGTAAAGAGCATTGGAATGCTGTAAAGAGGGTTCTAAGATACATTCAGGAAACCTCAAATGTTGCATTATGTTATGGGGGATCTGATTTTATTGTCAGTGGATATGTTGATTCTGATTATGCAGGTGATCGTGATAATAGCAAATCCACCACAGGTTATGTGTTTGCACTTGCTGGCGGAGCTGTAAGCTGGGTTTCAAAACTGCAGTCAGTTGTGACTACTTCAACAACAGAAGCAGAGTATGTATCAGCTACACAAGCCAGTAAAGAAGCGATGTGGTTGAAGATGGTGCTGGAGGAACTCGGCTATGAACAAAAGAAGATATCTTTATTTTGTGACAGTCAGAGTGCTTTGCATTTGACAAGAAATCCAGCCTTTCATTCAAAGACCAAGCACATTCGAGTTCAGTATCACTTCGTTCATGAGAAAGTGGAAGAAGGAACAGTGGATATGCAGAAAATTTACACCAAAGATAACCTAGCAGATTTTTTGACAAAAGCAGTCAGTACTGACAAATTCATTTGGTGTCGATACTCTTGTGGTCTGATGGAGACGTAAGCAACATAATGATGGCAAGATAGAAAGAATGATGTGAAGATATGATTGATACTCAACCAAATCTTCAAGTGGGAGATTGTCAGCAATCAGCCGCCCATGTGAATCCACTAAGCCCACAATTGTTGATAATTATAAAAGAAAACAAAAGGAGTGGGACCCACCTCAAATTATCACACCGAAAGCAGTCGTGAAGTTTGAAGATTTTAGAAATGCACAGTAAAATATTAATATTTTATTATGCATAGTGTTTTTCCAAAAACTATAAATAGGCTCCAAATCCTTAAGGAAAAAATCATCCCAGAAACAAATTCTTACATAGAAGAGTGAGAGGGAAAAAATAGAGAGAGTTTCTTCTTATAAAGAGAGAGAGTTTGTAACTTCAGAGTTTTCTCCTCATAGTGAATTCTTCTATCCTTGCCCGTGGACGTAGGCAATCAAGTGTCGAACCACGTAAATCTGTGTGTCCAACATTTTATCTCTACTTTTGCTCTACTATTGCTGCGACCCTGCTCTATTGGGCCCTGGGTTTATCCCAAGATTTTCAGGCATGAACATTTATCAAATATCATTTATGCATGAATGCACAATTAGTCCATCGGTATTGTGCATGTCCTTTATTTGATAGTCCAGTTCCCATTCATGTTTTCTATAGAAAAATACTTTTTCTCCTTTAGTAGTGTGCTAATTCTGTAAACATCCAATATTTCATGAGTTTATATTTACGATTATCTTTTGTTCACTGTATTGATTTCTTATGATTTTGGTTGCAGACAGCTAAAATAAACCAAGGTAACATAGCTTTAAAGAGAGTTGTCGAGTCCATTGCAAATGGTGATTCTCATGTCCCATTCAGAGATAGCAAGCTCACGATGCTCCTTCAGGTAATTTTACCACACATAGAGATCCTTTATCACAATTTTAAGACTCGGATTCTCATTTGAGCAAAAAATCTGATCTTTTTTATAGGATTCCTTTGAGGATGACAAATCAAAGATTCTGATGATTTTATGTGCAATTCCTGATCCAAAAGAATTGCATAAAACAATCTCCACTCTTGAGTATGGGGCTAAAGCTAAGTGCATTGTACGTGCAGCTCACGTGCCAACTCCTAAAGAAAAAGTCGTTTCTGATGAATCCAGCACGCACTTAAGATCAAGAATTGTAGCAATGAGTCAGTTTATCTACAAGTTGCAAACGGAAAACAAACTTAGGGAAAAAGAGCGTGATGATGCACAAAAGGAGCTAGTGAAAAGAGAGGAAGAGCTACTTTCTGTTAAATCTAAACTTAAAGTCGTAGAAGGAAATATATCCTCCCTAAGAGAAGAGGAGATTAAGTGTAAGGTTGAGGAGAGGACTCAGATGTTGAGGCTCGAGCTTATGAAAATGGAAGAAAAGATATCGCAACAAGAAGAGGAGCTTAGTTCAATGAGGCAAAGGTTGGAAGAAATGGAAGTAGAAAGGGGAAAATCCAATGGAGAAGCATTAGTGAAGAGATTACCAGAACTTTATAATGGTGATCTAGCTATGGAGAAGTCCATGGAGCTGGATATGGGAGATTTACCTGTGATTCATGATGTGAGGGAAATAAAAGAAAATTTCCATCAATTCAATCCTCAAAGTTTGAGTCTTGACAACGAGGGGAATGATAATGATACGAGATTCACAGACGGAGCGTGCTTGAGCACTGTTTTCGAAAGAGAAGATGAAGGAGAGGAGAAGGGTAGCATTGAAGGGTATGAAGTAGATAAGGAAAGGGTAGAAGAGATCACTAGACAAACTGAGAGAGATTCTAAATTCGGTTTCTTGGAGAATCCTAAAGATGCTACATTTGAAAGAAAAACTAGAATACAAAATATTTTTAGGCTTTGTGGTAATTATAGGGAGCTAGCACAACAAGTTACAGTAAAGATTCCTTCAAAGACTACTGAAGTTGATAGTGCTATTTTATCGCATTTATCGGCTGACATAGAATTGAAGGAGAACTACAAGCCTGATGGAATGATGGAGGTTTGTGTAAAATGGGAAGCGTCGAAGGAATTCACTGGGAATATTATCAAGAAGTTGAAAGTCCTGAAGGATTCCACTCTCTCTGATCTAAGGAAATTGATTGAAATACATGTTGAAGAAATAAATAGCAAACAGTCCTTCACATTTCTCTTACTTGGGGTATGCTCCTTCACTGATTCTATTAGTAGTGATACAATAGTTAATCATCTTTGTTTCTAGCCTTCCCATGAATTCCTGCATATATATTGATTTACTGCATCTTTGTATTGATATAATAGTTAATCATCTTTGTTTCTAGCCTTCCCATGAATTCCTGCATATATATTGATTTACTGCATCTTTACTTTTCAATACATGTTTATAGAACCAGTTTGGGCCTACAATGTCAAACATAACCTTTTGAAAAGTTTTAATCTGTTTCTAATGGGCATCGATGCTAATTAGCTCTGTTGAGATTTTGGAACTTTTAGTGCCCTATAACACAAGATTGAATCTGTTTGTTGAGGAACAATCCATTTATTTAAGCATGATATACGCAAGTTACTTCTCAAGTGCAGTTACTTTTTGAATAGCAGATTACTTCTTCTTCATTATTATGTAGGAAGCTGTTTATGGCATAGATACATGCTTTATTCAAGTTCTGAATGTTCTTTTTTTTTCCCTTCATATTCTTCGCTGTAATAGGATCCTTCTGGAGCACCGGTTACAATAGAAAAGGAAGCAACAATTCCAGCGTGCAAACTCCCACTTTGCAACAACCAGTTAAACAATTATCTTGCTTGTTTGCGTCCGATAAAGAAATCAATTCAGCTGCCAAATCACACTCCATTTGGCTCTCTAGAGAATACAATTCCCATTGCTGGATGCACATAGATATATATAGGCTCTGCTAACCGGAGTTGGCAACTTTTTTGTGTGACCGTTTAAATGTCATATACCGTACTCGTGGATGTATCTTGTGGTTATATACTGCAAGTTGCAAATAGATACTCGTATCATATCTTCACTATTCTGTACATTTAGTCGAAGATGTATTGTTAATGATATCTACAGTTTTGCTACGAACTCCTGTGTTTTGAGTGAGTGGCCTTCTGTCACTGTGTGCATATAATTTCACTCTTGGTATGTATATCCACTGGTAACATGTGGACTTCTTTTATAGGAAAACAAGAATAAATTTTTTGGTAATTCTGTGTTGATTTTGGTATATCGTTTCAAGTAGTTTAAGCCAATTATGCATCAACTTCAATGTGGTAAATGGTCAATCTATATCGATGTCAGTCTAGTTTTGTCACTGCTTATAAAGCTAAGAATGAGACTACATCTCAAGAGCTTGATGAAACTTTGAATGAGAATTACCGGCTAAAGTTTTAATATACATTCCTCTGCAGGATAAATTTTCAAAACCAACCCATTTGATAAACTATTACCAAAAAAAGACCCATTTCAGTTTTATTTGCAAAAAACGACCTGGTTTCAGCCTCAGCGCTGAAACCAGGTCGGTTTTTGAAAAAAAGTTTCCGAAACTTCACGGGAGTTCAACTCCCGTGAAGTTTTGTTATGAGAAAAAACTTCACGGGAGTTGAACTCCCGTGAAGTTTCGTAAAGTTTTTTTAGAAAAACCGACCTGGTTTCAGCGAAAGTGCTGAAACCAGGTCGGTTTCTCTAAATAAATCTGAAACGGGTCGTTTTTTGCAATTAGTTTATCAAATGGGTTGGTTTTGAAAATTTGTCCTTCCTCTGCATTTTTCTTAAAAGTAAATGACACTAAAGACTCGTAGAAAAAGAGTTATAACAAGTGTAATAACAATTGCATAACTCGTACATGTAAGATCAAGATCAGCCCAAAAATTATATTTCAGTTAATATGATGATATGTGAAAGATCAACTTGTAATTTACATCCCTAAACTCATTAAGTTGTTTTAAACAACAACTCCATCTAGAATTAATAAGAAGATTTTGGGGTCTAATTATCATATGGTTTTCTGATATGAGTCCCCCAATGATATTAGTCTACCAAATGTTTAAGTGTTTTGCAACTAGACCCTCTTATTAGCATTAGGTTGAAGGATTTGGGGAGCTAATTTCAAAATATGAAGATTTATTGGACCAATTCAAAACACTTATAAAATTTTGAGGACTAATTTTGGAAATATGAAGTCTGGGGGAATAATATTGACAAACCCCTTAATAGAAGTTAGAATAGGATATTGGGCTTAATATGGAGAGAGAGAAAAAAATTTACGGTAGTTCTGTGCAAAACCCACAAAGTTGGGATACTTTTGTGAAATTGACCTTTCCCCTTCACCTACCAACCGTCCATTTGAGGGAGCTTGTGGCGGGAGTGCGTCTACGTACTGGGCACGCACTCGCTCTCATTACTTCGTCAATCCCATAAATTCTCGTTCAAAACCCTAATTTTATACATTCTCGATCTTTTTCAGATCGAGAGATCGTAGAATGGGAGGGGGAATCGAGGTCAGCGGGCTTCAGTTCGCGTACGATGGCCAGCCGCCAATCTTCGCCCAGTTCAATCTCAACATCGCCCCTGGATCTCGCTGCCTCCTCATCGGTGCCAATGGATCTGGTAAATTCCCCCCATTTCTCTCGAAACCCTAGTTTTCTGCAGATCTTAGACGCGAAAACCCTAAAATGAGAGCAGATCTAGTTAATTTGGGAATAAGAACCCTAATTTTTCCTAAATTAGAATTCTTAACAGAAGATGTAGAGTTTTTGTTATAATAGACCCTTAATTCTTTCTAAAGTTCTAGCGATGTACAGATTGAGAAGGCCCAACAAATTTAAAGATCTGCTAAGCTTTGGGATTCGGAGGCGATCAACAAGGCGATTTTTTCTCGTTGATCTTAGATTTTCTTCTGGGATCTGAGATTTTCAGGAAATCTTCGAGTCTAGGGTTTCTTTTCTCAATCTTCATTTTTCGTTTTTCTCGTTGATTTTGGATTTTTCCTGTTTTCTTGTTCTTTTTTTGGTCTGGGATGGATTTTTTGGGAATGGATTTGGGTCATGGGCCGAATCCAAAGGAATTCGTGGCCCGCAATATTTGGGGAGAGCATTATTTTTCTTCTGTTTCGAAATTTTCTGAGCCCAATCATTCTCTTCAAACTCAAGGTGAGAAAACTAGGGTTAAGTTTGATGAACTAGGGTTAAAGTTTGCGGTGGGGATTGATCCATCGCGGAGATCCCAAGAAGAACTGAAGGAAGATATTTCTAAAGGGGAATGGGTGAATGTTGTGAAGAGAAACCCTAAATCGCCGCCTCCCCAAAATTCTCTTTCTTCTCCTCGTGTTCTTTCGGCAGAATTCATCAGAAAGAATCATCTGTGTTTTCGTTGTGGAGGATTGAAGCATATGGCGAAAGATTGCAGAGACCCAATTGTCTGCTTCAATTGTCAAGAAACAGGTCATGAAGCAAGAAATTGTAGAGCTTTTGACCGTAACAGTGGTAGATCTAATATCAGAGGTCGTGGTTTTGGTGGAAGAGGATCTTATGATGGTGGTCGTGGTTCTTTTGGGGGTCGAGGATCTGGAGGACGAAATATTGGGGGTAGAGGCTTTAGAGGAAGACCTGGACAGATTCTTGGTCGGGCTCAGGTGATCGTCCTCGTTTTACTACTGCTATTTTAAAATTTGAAGGGGAAGTTAATTCTAGTTTTCAGAAGTTTAGAAACTTTGCTATAGTTTCTTTTGTTGAAGGAGGTAATATTTCTCTGGAAAGATTAGAATTGGATTTGAGAGCTTATTTTCCTATGAATAAGCACTGGGATGTGAGGTTGTTTACTAATGGTGAAGTTTTGGTTAAAATTCAACCATGGAAACAAATGGATGATCTGATTAGAATGGGGGTAATCAACTTGAGATCGTGTAAAATTAAATTTAGAAGATGGAGTGCTTGAGAAGGAAATGTGGTAGAAAAAAGAAAATCATTTGTGTGGATTAAAATGAAAAATGTTCCACCTCATCTGTGGAATAAAGAATCTTTTGGCTTGATGGTTAAGCCTTTTGCTGATCTTGTTGAATTGGATTCATTAACAAATGCATGTACAGAGTTTGTGGATGCTGTAATGTTGGTTTGTTGCTTAGAGTATATAGACATTCCTAAAATTCTGAAGGTTGTTGTTGGAAAGAATCAATATAACATTGAAGTTTCTATCATGTCTATTATGGGTGAAGCAAATGAAGGGGAAAAGAAAAAACAAAAGGTGGACCAACTGGATGATACTAACCAAAGTTCTTATCAAGATAAATGGTTTAAAGGAAGGATAGTGGATCTGGTTCTTCTTCTCTGAAAGGATCTGAAACCACTTCATGGAATGTTAAGCAAGACTTGAGGAATAATCCATGGAATTCTCCTGCTGCCAGATTATGGGCTGATGCAAAAGTTTTCTATCAGAATAAAAAATCTGAGGGGAACTTGGGGAGAGAAGATATCATTAGATGTTGATGTGGAGCAACAACTAGAACAGGTGGTAACTGATGTGGAAGATTATTTTGAGCAGCTGATTGATCTGGGGGTTGAACAACAGTCAAAACAGGTAAAGATGAATGATATTGGAGTTCTTCCTGATCAAATAATGGATTGTGGTGAGGGTAATGGTGAAGAAGTTGAAAAGAATTCTCAATGTAAAAAGGAGTCTAATATGACTCTTATCAGGGAAGATATGACAGATTTCAAAGAGGGAGAGATTTCTTTTAATGAAGAAAGTTCTGCTAAGAATGATAATAGTGAGGCTGATAAATGGATAATTCTTCCAAAGCATTCCAGCATTGAGGAAATCTCAGAGAAGGAAGAGGATATTCCTATTATTCAACCTCTGAACTCTTTACCACCCATGGAATATGAAGCTGTTCCTAACGTTACTTTTGTCAGAAGATGTTCAAGGTTTGTGGATATGGAACCCATGTCTGCACTGGATAGGGCTACATCCAGAGCTGCAAAGAAAAATATCTTACTGAATATTCCAGGTGCCTCTGCTAGTGGATCAGGTGAAAGCTCTTCTTCTTTGGGCTCTAATTTTGTTCCAATTCTTTTTGATGCTTGTTCTAATAAGCAGTTACAAAATTATGCTTCTAAATGTGCCATCATTCTTGAGCCTCAAGGGAATTTTGATCCCCTTGAAAAAGTGAGGCAGATGGAACAGGAGAGAGCTACTTTTGAGTAGGCTCCAGTTTTGATTTGAGGAGTTTGTTTTGTTGTCTATGTTAGTTACATGGAATGTTAGAGGATTGGGCTTGAGCTCAAAAAGATTTGGAGTTAAAGATTTTTGTCAAATGAATAAATTTGAAATTATTTGTTTGCAAGAGACAAAGTTAAGTTGTTGTACTGACAATATTTTTAAAACTCTGGGAGGTAACATATATGATTGGGCTTTTGTACCTTCTAATGGGGCTTCTGGTGGAATTATGGTTGGCTGGAATAACAATGTTTGGAAGAAAAATCAGGAAATTGCTGGTAAACATGTTTTGTCAGTTATGTTAAAAAATAAGAAGAATGGCTTTACATGGACCATCTCTTCTGTATATGGTCCTCATTGTAATAAGGAGAGAGTTCTTTTTTGGCAAGAACTGAGAGATGTTAAAAACTCTTTTTCTGGACCTTGGGTTGTGGTTGGTGATTTTAATGTCACTATTAATTCTGCAGAAAGGAAAGGGAAAACTAATCACAGAAAAGATATGGAAGATTTTAAAGAAGTGATTAATGAGTTGGAATTAATTGATAGTCCTCTTCGTGGAAGAAAGTTTACTTGGACAAATAAAAGAAGATCTCCTTCTATGGCTAGACTTGACAGAGTTTTCTTTAACTCTGAATGGGAAGATTTCTTTCCTTTTTCTAAACAACAAGGTCTTAGTAGCCAGTTATCTGACCATGCTCCTATTAGTTTTGACTTTGGGGAAAATCAACAGCAAGTAAAAATTTTTAGATTTGAAAAAATTTGGCTACAGTCTGATGATTTTATGAAAAGTGTACCTATCTGGTGGAATTGTGCTCCTAAGAGTGAATCTGCTGCTAAAAACATGGTGGGTAAACTAAGATTTATGAGAAAGTGTATCAAGCAATGGGTACATTTAAAGTTTTATAGTGTTAAACAAAAAAAGAAAGATCTGTTGGACAGTCTGTTAGAATGGGATATTATGGAGGAGAATAGAGATTTAGAGGATGATGAAGTAATAAAAAAAAATGAGATTATCATTCAATTAAATGAGATCCTGCTTCAAGAGGAGCAAATGTGGAAACAAAGATCAAAAGCTCATTGGCTTAAAGAAAGGGATAACAATACTGCATATTTTCATAAAATTGCCAATGGTAGGAAGAGGAATAATTTGATTTCTTCCATCATGCATAATGATGTTGAAGTAAGTTCTGAGTTTGGTATAGCTCAGATTTTTTCAGAACATTACAAACAGATATTTGGTCAAAAGGTGTCTCATAGATGTCAGCTAGATTGGAATGGTTTATTCCCTTTTGTTGATTGGAGTCCTAGGGATATTGAAATTCCTTTTTCTGAGGAAGAAATTCATAAAGCCATTTTTGATATGAATGGTGATAAGTCCCCTGGTCCTGATGGTTTTCCTGCTTTGTTTTTCCAAGTCTTTTGGGAGATTGTGAAAAGGGATATTATGAGGCTTTTTGAGGAATTTTATGAAGGTAATTTGGAGATTAACAGAATTAACTATGCTCATATTGTACTTATTCCAAAGAAAAATGAGGCTAACACTGTTAATGATTTTAGACCTATCAGTCTCCTTAATGTGATTTACAAAATTATTACAAAAGTTTTGACAAATAGATTAAACCCCAAACTTGAGTGACTTATTGATTCAGTTCAGTCTGGTTTCATTAAGAACAGATTGCTGATTGATGGGGTAGCTGCAGCTCAAGAGATCATTGATGACTGTTTCCAAAATAATAAAAAAGGAGGAATTCTTTTAAAATTAGACTTTTCAAAAGCCTATGATATGTTAGACTGGGATTTTATGTTGGAGGTTTTAAAGGCTAAAAACTTTGGTGAGAAATGGATTAATTGGATGAATATGTGTTTAAAAGGAGGCATGTCTGCTATTACTATCAATGGTAAACCTGGAAGTTGGATTATGTCTAAAAGAGGGGTTCGTCAAGGAGATCCTTTGTCACCACTTCTTTTTGTGTTGGCAGCTGATGCTTTTATCAGAATGTTGTCTTTAGCAGTTAACTCTTATCTTATTGAAGGCTTAGGCCCTGTTAATATGGATCATAAAATTGTTTGTTTACAGTATGCTGATGATACATTGATTTTTTGTAAAAATAAAAGAGAACAGTTAATAGTGTTGAAACTGATTTTGTATTGCTTTGAGTTGGCATCAGGGTTAAAGATTAATTTCAATAAGAGTGTTCTTATCACTCTTGAGAATAATGAACCTTTACAAAAGAATTTGGCTATTATGTTGAATTGTAAAAGTGGAAATTTTCCTATTACTTATCTTGGAGTGTCTTTAAGGCCTGGTAAATTGAAGAAAAATGACTGGCTCCCTTTGATTGATAAAATTGAAAGGAGATTATCTTTGTGGAAAGGCAAATCTTTATCTAGAGGAGGTAGACTAGTTTTAATCAACTCAGTTCTATCTTCTATGCCAATTTTCTGGCTTTCTTTTTATCTTTTTCCTTCATGGATCATTGATAAAATTGATAAAGTGAGGAGAAGATTCTTATGGACTGGATCTTTAGACAACAAAAAATGTACTAATTTGGTGAAATGTGAGGAGATATGTAGACCTAGACACTGTGGTGGTTTAGGTATAATAAATTTGAGAATCATGAATAAAGCTCTTTTAGGTAAATGGCTTTGGAAATGGTTTGATGGAAGGCCTGGCATTTGGAAACAAATTAGTTTTTACAAATATTTTGAAAAGAAAAGCTGGACAGATTATATTCATTCTGGGAGAAAACTTCTATCATGCTTTTGGAGAAATTTTAGTGTTAATTTTGAAAGTTTTCTATGCAATTCTCAGGTGGAAGTTGGAAATGGAAACCATACTTTGTTTTGGCTGGACAAATGGTTAGGCTCATTTACTCTGTCTTCTTTATTTCCATCCTTATTTGCTATAACTTTGTATCCTTTTGCTGCTATTAATAGCATGTTAAAAAAAGAGGATAATATGTGGAGATGGAACATTCAGTTTAAGAAAGAAGTAGTTGGGGTTCTGGTTCCCCAATACTGTTCTATGATGAGATTAATAAATTCCAGTTGTTTAGAGCAAAGGGAGGATACAAGGAAATGGCTTTGGGAAACAAAAGGGAATTTCACAGTGAGGTCTTTCTATCAAGTTTTAATTGATGGGGCTGTATGATATGATTGTGCAAATTTATGGCAGCTTCCTATCCCTTTAAAAGTGAAAGTTCTAGTTTGGTTGGCACTTAGACAAAGCTTAAATACAAAGGATGTGCTGGAAAAGAAAGGAGTCCTCTTGGATAAAACTTGCTGTTTATGTTCTAAATTGGAGGAGAATCATACACATCTTTTCATCAAATGTGAGTTTGTTTACTCAATATGGAGATCGATTCAATTCAAATTGGAGACTGAGAATACTTTTAGTTTAGACTCTTTGAAAGATATTTGGCTTAATTGGAAGACTGGAGATATTGCGAATAGTAAACTGAAAAGGGATGTGATCATTTGCTCTTTGGTCTGGTGCATTTGGCAAGAACGTAACGATAGAATTTTTTCAGATAAAAAGAAGAAGTCCCTTGAGCTCTTGAACAAAATTATGACCTTCGCAACTTTTTGGCTAGGTGCTGAAAGAGTCTCTGCTCGAGCTGCTAGACTGAAGGAGAGGCGGAAAAAGAGGAATGCTGTTAACCTCCAAGCTGCTGGAGTGGCCAGAAATGAAGATAGAAATGTGGAGAGTTTGGTGATTCAGCTAGAGTGATGAGATACAAAAGGTGCAGCTGTGATGTTTTTTGTTTTCTAAAACTAAAATCTCAGTTACATTGTGAACTGCTCTTCTTTTGGTCTTTTGTTAGATCTTTTTTGATCTTCCCTCTTTTGAGTATGTACAGAGGGGTGGTGTTTTTCTTCTTTGTATGTAGTTGCTGATATGGACTATAATACTCACTCTTGGTTGAGGGTGAGTATTTTATGTAACAACCATTTTTGTTAATTTAGCTGGCTGGATTACCTTTGTGGTAATCCATCCTTTTTCTCAAAAAAAAAAATTCTTTCTAAAGTTTATATCAGGCCCCCAAATATTCATATTTCTAATATCTAATGGTATCACAAATTCTGTTAAGTCGTCTAAATAACACCTCCGAATCTATTAATTTGTTATTTTTTCCGAATTCTTTCTTAATTTCAAATTAAATCCCGAATCTTCATACTTTTAATTTACAACCCAAATCTCTTATGTTTGTCAATAAAAAGTTGATGATGCTTACCAGGAGTGTACAACCCCGAGATTTGGGGGTATAAATAAGAAATATGAAGACTTGGAGGCTTAATGCATAAAATAAAAAATAATTTAAAGCTAATTTGAAAAGCCTAAAGATGCAAGCCTTTTATTTTGGGGGTATATGTCAAAAATCTTTGGTAACATATCATATTTCATGCAGGTAAGACCACTTTGTTGAAGATTTTAGCAGGAAAGCATATGGTTGGAGGAAGAGATGTTGTTCAAGTCCTCAGTTGTTCTGCGTTTCATGATACACAACTGGTTTGTAGTGGTGATCTTGCCTATCTCGGAGAATCTTGGAGCAAAACAGTTAGTGCTGCTGTGAGTTTTTAAACATTTGATGTATGAATTTCATGTATAGATCCATAATGCTGGACATTGAGCCCACTTTCTATTTGAAAAGAGCATAATACTTGAAATTGTAATTTCTAAGGAAATAGCAAAAGCATCTATTTTCGGAATGCCCTTTACCATTTTGTTATGTAAGGATGTCTTGGCTTGGAAAAGAATTCAGATGCGTCATCTTAAGATTTAGTCCCTCTAACTATTAGACCAAACTCTGAAGTTATGGTGAGGGTCGAGGATTATATTTTTATGTTCTGAAACCTGGACTCATGCAGCGGCATTAATTTTTATATTCTAGCAATGCATGTGGTCTAGTGACAATTATGTGTTAATGATGTCATTACACGCTAGAGATCTTTCTTATTGTAGCTTTCTGGAAGGGGAAAAAAGGTAATTATGTGAAAACTCCAAAATCAGAACTTAAGCTAACTAGAAACTAAGGAGTTACAGTAATATAAATCTTCCAAACAATTTATTCTCTCAGACATTTGGTGATTAATTTTGCGTTCATGTTTACATGTTCTTGAACATTCTTCACCTGCCAATTAATTCTTGATATTATAAGTTACTCAAGAAACATTATAAATTTTCAGGGTGATGTTCCGCTCCAAGGTGATTTCTCTGCCGAGCACATGATTTTTGGAGGTAAGTTATTATGTATAACAGTATAAGCAATATATTATGCCCATGTTCTTGATATAAAGTACTCATTCTTGGGTCATTTACCAGCAAATACAACTATAAACCCTTCAACCCAATTTTTTGGAGTTGGATACATGAATCCTTATTCTCCATTCCTGTACTTTCTCATAGTTAACTACTATGGTTTCAGATGAATCTAGTTAATTACTTACTTAAAGGTGACATTAAGAGGATTCCCCGTGTTTAACTTCTTCATTTGCAAACTCATGATAAATCGGCCTTTGTGCTTACTGTTTAAGTGACATCTATATGACATTTTTAATAGCACTTGCCATTTAGCCTCTAATAATACTACTTTGCCTCAGAGTTTTACTAAGTTATGATATGAAATTTTTTCGGGGGTGCATTTATATGGTTGTTTTCAACTCACAAGTCAATTAGATGTTTTTTTTTCCTGGTAAGATTTCTCTGAGAAGAAAGCAGAGAGTTAAAGAATGTAAAACTTTAGAAATTGCTTTACTTATGCTGGTTTTGTTTCTCTTAACAGTTGAAGGAATTGATCCTCTTAGAAGAGAGAAATTGATCGATCTGCTTGATATCGATCTGCAGTGGCGGATGCATAAAGTTTCTGATGGACAGCGCCGTCGTGTTCAAATTTGCATGGGACTTCTCCATCCATACAAGGTATTAAAAAAAAGAAAAAAAAACTTTGTAATGAGCAGGCATAACTTCTGGCCATGGCCCTAAGGTTCTTTTGCACTTACCAGTTTCTTGTATATTATTACCTTGAGTAATTTTTCTATCTCCTGTATTTTTCCTTTTGTTTATTACATGAATGAACCTTGCAACTTTTTCATGTAGATGGTCTTCTGAGCAATAACTACTTTGGAATATGTCTATAAATGTCCTATTAATTAGTGATCCAAGCTTACAGATAATTTATCTTTTGATATCTATCATTCTCACTAGAAAACACATGGTTTCATGCTTGTTCTTCAAATTCATGCATCTCTTTTTACCTTATTGACTTGGCCTGCCCTACTCTGTAACGTGCAGGTGCTATTGTTAGATGAAGTCACAGTTGATCTAGATGTTGTCACAAGAATGGATCTCCTCGAGTTCTTCAAGGAGGAGTGTGAGCAGGTTAGAGTGACACTATCTGTTACATGTCTATTGAATTAGGATCAATTTAACAGCTTGAGGACTAATTCAGAACTGGCCTAGTCCAGATTTGTTCTGGATGGGGGAATGGAAAAATCCTGGCCTGTAATCGGTCAAAAATTAGCCTAACAAAACCTGAGTAAGTCCTGGTTCGGTTTTTTGCCAACCTGGGCTTAATCCTGGTCCTTCTGTTGTTCCACTTAACCTGATTATCTCAAGTTGCCAAATACTACCTTACTTTCCACTCGTTGAACTCTTCAATATCTCTTTGCAGAGAGGAGCTACTATTGTCTATTGCACTCATATATTTGATGGACTTGAGACATGGGCCACACACCTAGCTTACATTCAAGAGGGTGAGTTGAGAAGATGCACAAAAATGGAAGATATACATGAACTTGAAAAGGCTGATAACTTGCTCTCAGTGGTTGAATCATGGCTTCGTTCTGAGACCAAGCTACCGAAAAAGGAACCCATAAAATCCTCTATCCTATCAAGAGGAGCTTCACCCTTTGATTCATCTCCTTTCAAATCATCCCGACATATGGCATACTATCGCTGAATCATGAAGCCATCAGCTATCATTACTATAAATCAGTTAAGACCACAATATGCCTTCCAACACAGAAAATTTAGTTGAATTGTTTGTTGTGTATACATGATCGATAACTTACAATAAGTTTGTTAATTTGGATGGTGTCGATTATGTATAATTTTTTTAAGGATATATCTTTTGAGTTAAAAGTCGTAAAATTTACGGTATCGTCATGTTTGTGTTCCTTTTCTCTAGTATGTAGATGTGATTGCAATGGAATTTTTCTTTTGCATCAGTCTATGTTATCTGTCTCTAGGATTCACGCACGTCCTGTTCAATGTATACTCCGTTTGTGTTTCTAAAAGTGTCTTCTACCACAACAAAACTCCAAAGTTGCATGGGAAATTAAGGGTTACAATTTTATACTCTAAAGTTTGCTTGAAGGTTGACAATTGTCTCAACCTCTTTTATATGAATCAAAACTTCAAATAATTGCATATGCAAGTTGTTTGGTAGCTTTGCAACTGGAGCTGTTGCAAGTGTTGTTACGTGCAACTATGCCATTTTTATCCAGTTGCATGTGTTTGTTTCATTGCAATTGATCACTTGCAGTTGCAAAACCCTTTAGTTGTAGCTTTTGACGTGTAGCCATTTTTTGCTATAAGTGAAGTTGCAACCTTTTTTGCTATAAGTGAAGTTGCAACCAAAATGAACTGCAAATCCATTTAAGTTGGAATTGTAGTTGCAACAAATTATTTTATCAAGATTATTTAAAAAAAATAATTTTTCCAAAAAAATAGTTTTTTAAAAGTATATTCTTTTTTTGAAAATTATTAGTTTTTTTGAAAATATTAGTTTTTGCAAAATATTATTTATTTTGGACATATTGTTCCCTCAAAAATGTTATTCTTTCATAACTATTATTTATTCTTAACATATTATCTATTCAAGAATATTATTTTTTTTTAAAATCATTTGATGCCAAAATTATTTTTTTCAAAAACATTATTATTTTCAGAAAACATTATTTTTCCAAATATAACATATTTCAAAAATATTATTTCTTCTAAAACTATTATTTTATTTATACAAAATAAATTTTCTAAAAGTATTATTTTTTTAGAAAAATAATAAGTTTTGCTAAATGTAGAAATTTCTCATATTTTTTATAAAAAAGTATATTGTTTTATTAAAATAATATCATTCTACTACAAAAATTATATTTGGGTAAATATTTTCTTGATAAAGTAATGTGACGTTTTCCAAAATATCATTTTTTAAAATGTTTTTTTTAAATCTCATAATATTATTTTTAATTCTCAAGTTTAAAACTGTTAAAAAATAATTGAAAAACAAATTGCATATAAGGAGTCACAAGCACAACAAAATCACTGCCACCGCAAGTCGTGAAATTTAAAAATTGAACCAAACAGCTGCAACTCTATAGTTGCATGTAAAAACAGTTTACAACAATTTGGTTACATGGAAGTGTCATTTGCATTGCGGCTACATTTGCAAGCGAACAAATACCTCTATAAATATAATGCAACTATCATTTGCATGCAACTTATATTTACTAAAACCATGTAGCTTTATATATTTTTGCACCACTTGGTTTTCCGTTAAACACAGAAACAATGCCCACAACATTTGCATCCTAAAAGTGTTAAAACAGAAGAGCATGTATCATGTGGTCATCTCCATGAACTCCTCATCCTTCAGTAGGGCACGTATTCATGGAGTGGCGTAGCCAGAATTATTTTTTGCCCTGAGCGAAAAATAAAGATGGTCTACGAGTATATCGTGAGGGAGAGGAGGGAGGCGCGGGAGAGGGAGGAGGGCTGGAGATTGCTGAGATGGAGGTCCTGAAAGAGGAGGGAGAGGAGGTTGGATCTGTGGGAGAGGGAGGTGAAGTGACGGGAGAGGAGGAGAAGCGAGGGGAGGAGGGAGAGGTCGTGGGAGAGGCGGGGTTTCTTGTCCTGGGCAGCTGACCAGGGCAAGCAAGCTCTTGCTACGCCCCTGCTCATGGTCTCCTTCGCCAAATACACATCCCAGCTCTGTACGTACTCCCCTCCTCCGCCCCCTGATAAACCCCAACGCTCACATCCGACGTGTTTAACTCTCCGGTCCCGATAGCCAACGGCCTCCCTCATCCGAAACCATTCCCCAAACACAACACCTCGGCGGCCCCACAGTCAAAATCGCCAATATTCCTTTATCATCCTTGTCAGTTGCCACGGTAAAATAAACTCCCCGCTTCTTGCTCTAATTCTCTGCTTCTCTGTAACACTCTCTCTTCATGAAAAAGACGCTACCTATTTATTTCAGTGTCATCGCTACACTCCGCAACCCTTTCCCTGTCAATTCTCCGGCAGGGGTCACTCCGACGGGTCACGCCAAATGCATTACCAAGATAAGATTTGCGGACTGGGTGCCGCTTTAGAAGCTGCAGGGAGCGGAATCTGACTAGTATTATGTGCAAGGCTGGTGCTTCTGGTCCGTGTTTTCGTGCACGGCCGATAGATCGCCATGGTTCGCTGATAATGCCTGCACGTAGAGCGGAAAAGAATTAAATAGTTCATTTAACAGCGGACAAATAGTTTTTTTTGGGAAAAATGTGTCCAGGCCCCAAAAATAGAAACTTTATGTACTGCAGCCCCTCCTAGTTTACCCCATGTGGTTCAGCCCCTTGAAGTGTGACATTTTCTGCTACAGCCCCTTTTTAACAATTATTATATGCCAGCTAAGCTAAAATCCCCAAAATGACCTTATCCCCTCTCCTCAATCCTTCAAACCCAGTTCTCTCTCTCTCTCTCTCTCTCTCTCTCTCCTCTCTCTCTCTCTCTCTCTCTCTCCTCTCTCTTTAAAAACAAGGGCTTTCTCAAGCTCGTCGCCCTGGCCCTCGCCCTCCTCGCCGTCGCCACCTCTGCCCAGGCACCCAAGCCTCCCCTGAGTTCGGCTCCCCTCCTCTCCTCCGCCCGACCTCGTCGCGGTAGCTCGTCGTCGCTCCCCGTCTCGCCCTCGACTACGCCGGAGTTCGCCGCTGCGCCTGCCACTTTTGAACCCTATAGTATGGTAGGCCGGAGGAGGATGACCAAGAGAAAAAAGTGCATGATGCCCAAGAAAAGTGAAAATGAAGGAGCTGCAGGCACAAGGCCACTCTTTTTTTTTGGAATTTAATGAGAAGTCACTGCTTGTTAAGGAGATTGTTAGTCAAGATGGCGAAGAGATGTCTGTTGGGTTTGAAATTTTAAGAGCTGATCTTGGTGCTGGAGCTGAGGAAGGAGATGGCGAAACTTTTTTTGATAAATTTGATGTTGGTATTCTTATCTTTGCTTGGATTTTGTTATGGAGTATTCTCCCTGAAGAAATGTTGAATGCCTTAACTTGCAGGAATTTGATGCTAAAATTTGATGTTGGTATTCTTATCTTTGCTTGGATTTCATGTTCGTGTTAGTTCTAACTCAGTTCATGTTAGCTCAAAATAGTTAGTGTTCTAATTTAGAACTAACAAGAACTGAGTTAGAACTAACAGGAACTGAGTTATAACTAACATAAACCCAGTTAGACCTAACATGAGTTAGAACTAATTGGAAAGCGGGAGTCGTGCTCAAGCCGTGAAATGCCGCGTGCGATGTCCTCAAGGAAGCAAAACACTTAAATAATTTTATTTGCATATAAGTTGGCTCGATAACCCGTATAATAGGTATCCAAACCGATGGTTCTGGGACTAAATTCATACCACAAATGCTCTCATTCTCTACCCACTGATTTTTTTGTCTTTCATGTTCCATGATCACATACTAATTTGGATTTAGCATTTTTATTTTATATGCTTTTTAGAATTAGTGCAGCATTATTCCAAAAACCGACGCCCAAATCCTGCTGTATCACGGCTGTTCCTCTCTTCGCTCCTCGCAAATCCTTGTCGTGTTGTTAACAACGTCGACACGATCACTGAAATCACCATATTCTTTCGATAATTAATTCACTAATCAATGCATAATGCGCATTTGGGAGTTTGCAACATCTGCAGAAAGCTTTCTTGTGCCATTTCGTAACTATCATTGTATAAATTAGAACTAACTTGGTATAAATTAGAACTAACATGGTATAAATTAGAACTAACGTGGTTAAAATTAGAACTAATTTGTTATAAATTAGAACTAACTTGTTATAAATTAGAACTAAAGAACTAACTTGTTATAAAATAGAACTAACTTGGTATAAATTAGAACTAACGCGGTATAAAATAGAACTAACGTGGTATAAATTAGAACTAACTTGGTATAAAATAGAACTAACTTGGTATAAAATAGAACTAACGTGGTATAAATTAGAACTAACGTGGTTAAAATTAGAACTAATTTGTTATAAATTAGAACTAACTTGTTATAAAATAGAACTAACTTGGTATAAATTAGAACTAATGTGGTATAAAATAGAACTAACGTGGTGTAAATTAGAACTAACGCGGTATAAAATAGAACTAACGTGGTATAAATTAGAACTAACTTGGTATAAATTAGAACTAACGTGGTATAAAATAAAACTAACGAGGTATAAATTAGAACTAACATGGTATAGAATAGAACTAACACTGTACAGATTAGAACTAACATGCTACAGAATAGAACTAACACTGTATAGATTAGAATTAACACGCTACAGAATAGAACTAACACTGTGTAGATTAGAACTAACACGCTACAGAATAGAACTAACACTGTGTAGATTAGAACTAACATGCTACAGAATATAACTAACACTGTGTAGATTAGAACTAACACGCTACAGAATAGAACTAACACTGTGTTGATTAGAACTAACACACTACAGAATAGAACTAACACTGTATAGATTAGAACTAACACGCTACAGAATAGAACTAACACTATGTAGATTAGAACTAACACGCTACAGAATAGAACTAACACTGTGTAGATTAGAACTAACACGCTACAGAGTTAGTTCTATTTTTATACTAAGTTAGTTCTATTTTATACCACGTTAGTTCTATTTTATACCAAGTTAGATCTATTTTATACTAAGTTAGTTTTATGTTATAACAAGTTAGTTCTAATTTTAACCCCATTAGTTCTAATTTTAACCACTCTCTGTGCGCCTCTCTCATTTGGGTACTGTGGGCTCCAACCAAACAAGTACCTAACAACAAATAATTATAACAAATCACAGGATTGTGATAGTTTCGGAATGGCATTTTTATTTTATATGCTTTTCAGA